TTTAAACGATTATAATTTAAAATGATTGTCATCATGAACAAATAGAAAATACTAACAAAATTGATTATTATATTACAATAGTGATATCAGATAAATTTATGATCGAATTAACTGTACCTACATAGTAACTGAAAGCACTCATTGTCCGTCACACAATCCATTCAAGGATCCGTATTACTAATCTAGTAAACCAATCTTTATCAATAATAAACGGTAAAGATCAAACGATACCACAATTCAATTATTTCTGTTAGGATTGATACAAGTTTGATATGAAATTAAATAAAAAAGAATAGATGTTGTGTCTATAAATAGTTACGAAATCTATTTAAACATTAGTATTGAAAAATTTACCATTGGAGGGTTTTGCCAGTAGTCGCCATGCTTGGCAGACGGGTTGGCAACCGCAGTTAAGCTTTTGATAATGTTTTAAGAACCGCCAATCGACGGAGAAGAAAGGTTTTGAATAGCAAGTTTTAAGAGAACCATTCTGCCTATCTCTCGACCATCAAGTTCCTTTAGCCGCTTCTTACGTCACCCACCAAACAGTAAGGGGTGACCCATTCTATACCGGGACCACATGGCAATTATAATATTAGTCTATAAAATATAATATTAAACTATACCAAACTATTGGTAATAAAACAGAATACGTCTCTGGAATTCACTTCCCAATAACTTGATAATATATATATATATATGTATATATATATGAATATATATATATATATGTATGTATGTATGTATATATATATATATATATATATATATATATATATATATATTTACCACCTATTAGGTATTTAATTTATCTTTAGCTGTACAATTTTTACATTCTTCAGTTTTCTTTCAAATTCTCAAAGGATGACTGTAAGAGATCCCTTTATCCAATATAAATTGTGTACATTAAAGATTTTACAATACAATACAATACTTTTCACATGCTTAATGGTGTGACGTTAATGGTTATTATGGTAAAGATGATAGGTTCGGTGTACACATAATATTCCAAACTGAATACATATTCATTCACAATTATAATAGCACTATATTATTAAAATTTACATCATACAAATGGAGCTAATCCAATTTTTTGATACAAATCGAAGGAAATTGCATTATCAAGATTCATTTCGATATCAGTAATTAGTGTAGGTAAGTCGAAATTGCTCATTCGCGTTCGGGCCGCCGTCCGAGACAGTGTCGCGTCTGGATGGAATTAAAAAGGGAAAATATTTAAGAAATTCATGACAATGGAAATTCTTACACGTGAGTTTAATTGCTTCATTGTAATTTCTTAATAACTAGTATTACTTAATTCAGCGAACATAATAGTATCTTTTATAGAACGAACGCATACACTTTTACAGCGATTTTATAGAAGCTAATGCTTGCAAGGTTTTTTACAAATGAAACTATTTTTTTACCAGAGGGAGACTTTGTACAAAAGTCGATTGCTTGGGTACCTCTGTCCCATTCGAGTTTCTACCGTAAAGCAGTTGTGTTTACATAGCTGTGTTTCGGTTTGAAGGGTGGGATATGGCGTGAATTTACAGGATACAGAGGAATATCACCTGAGTCCTCAGGAATGGCAACGCATGGGGGGTATCATGGGCGAAACAGTATACCCTGTTATGTCCATGGTACTGCTCGTGTCTATAGGTGACGGTTACCACTTTCCATCAGGTGGGCCGTCAGCTTGTTTCCCATTCTAAGTTGTATAAAAAAAAACTATTTGTTAATCGTTTTAAATATAGACTAGAGGAAATAATTACAAAATACACAACAATTGAGACTCTAACATGAGTTAAACTAGTTTATTATAATTCGATAATAACTTCTTATGTAGCCTTTTTATAGAAGCAATTAGCTTTTTAGGTATTTACAAGTATTGGAAGAAAAACTTGTTGATCAACTGTACTGTAGAATAAACAAAAAGTTAAACATTTAAACAAATGCACAAATTTTAGGTATTGTCAGTAACAGTTTATATATAGACACACATGCACATCCATACATACACCAACAAATACATTCACTCAGCTAAACACACATAAAGTAATTTGACTTTAGATTTTGTATGACTCCAATGCTTACAAGCCACAATGATAAAAACAGTGATATAGTGGCAACAGTAACTAATTTAGAGAAAAAGAGTTACGAATTTCCACTCTTTGGAAAATTCCTCTTATAGAGACACAATCATAAGTGGACCATATTATAAAATAACCAGATCTGTGTCTTGAATATGGATGTTCCATATTCACAACAGCTATGTGATAGAATTCTAGCGTTAAAGTCATAACCTTAGCACAGAAGATACCTTTTTTTATTTTAATTAATACAGGCAAAGCTAGTAGATATAGCTAGTTTAATATAAATGCAGTCATCACAGCATCAGACTAATTCTTGTGAACCGAGATCAATTACCAACATAATACCATAATTAGGGCGTAATTAACTTAATGACATTAATCCGTTAAATGAAGACTGCTTATAAGAATAGTAAGGTCGATTCAATATTAATAGTTGGAGATCACGACATCTTAAGTGTGATGTTTTGTTCGATGTTTGCACATTCTGAGTAATTAAAGTGCAAGGAGGAAAAATATATTTTTAATATAGTAAACTCAATGATGTACTAAAAACTCAAGATTCACAATTCCATACGACAGCTGCACTTTAAATTGTTCCAGATTTAAATTGAAAAAAAAATTTGTCAAATAGTGAAGTATTGATTCAATATTCAATATTGATGTGTGGAGATCATGACATCATAAGTCTAATGTTAAATGTTTGCACATTCTAAGTAATTAAAGTGCGAAGGGAAAACATGTTGTAAATAGCAGGATGCAGTAATAAAACATATATGTATTTGAGATATAAAATAATAAGTTTAGTGAAAAAAATACAAGACATGTCTTATAAAAAAATGACATAGAACAAACATAAAAATAATACATTGTTCTAAAAAACCTCAACGTCACCAGCCAGTATTAAAACTCCAGCAAAACATATATTTTTAATATAGTAGACATGAGTCTACTATATTATATATTAAGTTTATTATATATAAATAATGATATATAATAAACTCAAGATTCACAATTCCATATGACAGTTGCACTTTAAACTAAAAAAAATATGTATTAAAGTATTCAAAAATGTCAAAGTAAAATTTAAGTTATAGTAAATAGTGTACATTTAGAAATCGACCAAACTTAAGTGAGATTGGACACAAAAAGGAAAAAAGTACAAACATATTGTAAATCTTCATCTTTTGGATGACACTAATAAATATAATTGAAATTAAATTTAACACATACAAAGCTAAAAATCTAATATAAAATGAAACATATCTGGCAACCAAACCAAGAACCCAGTACATCCAGAAGAAATACAGAAGAAGGTACATCAGTACTCATTTGAATTAATGTTGTTGACAAAACTATATACCTAGATAATATCTAATCTAATATATTTGTACTGGGAATCTACCTGTATTATCACATCGATGAAGTACCTAGTTGTAATTAAAGATAATGGAGTTATAAGTAATTTTAATCAAATTACAATGATATTAATTGAAGTTGAAATCTTTATTATCCTTATCTTTTATAAACATATCAAATAATATAAAAGAATACAGAAGTATTTTATTTAAGATTTTATACAAAAAACTAAACACGACAAAGAAAAGATTTCACAGTGATGTGATAAGTAATAAACACTTACTTATCTCTAGTTATTTGAATATAATTATTTTGTTTAATTCTCCTACCATTATTTTAGTCAACAATCACATATTTTTTTTTATTACCAATTTTAATTATATATTAGCCATTAATCTCCGACCATCATTTCGTCTACGCACTGCGACTCATGTTAAAGTTGTAAAACTTCTGGTTATAGTAATAATAGTCAATCGTCGAGCATTAGCAATCACACACATGCTAATGGTAGCGGAATTAAACAAAATGATTGTAATGAAACAACCAGTAATATATATTGAATTCCGCAAACTAACAATTTAGTAAAATAAACAACTCAACACAAATGATCTAATTTAATTCAATCAAACACTGTATTCATCATGTTAGATTATTCAGCGAAGTCACGCCACTCCCGACTCCAGGGGCCAATTAATGATTAACGAACAAATTGATTTCATCAATTATACACAATTACGTTTCTTGCTACTAAGCTACCGGTGAATACCCATTTTGTATAAGGTATACGTGATATTTTTCCTCTATACAACATAATTGTTGATAGAATAACCAGTCATTATCGTACATCATCATTTCAGTTGTTAATTATTCACTGTTGAACACAGACCACCTCTATGGACTGTCATAATAATAATCTTGAGCCATCTGCTCCTACTAGCTGCAACATAGTAAGGGGCTGGTGAGAAGGGACTCTTAGTAAACTGTAGGCTATTGCTAACAATTCGCCTGAAAACCAACATCTTTATAATTGTTGGGCTACGATAAACGCTTACCAGATGGGCCGTATCCTTGTTTGCCACCTCAGTGGTATAAAAAAACTTTGATGAAATCCTCGCGATGGACCAAAAACTGGGCTGTTTTCATTTTCATCCTCACCTATTATCTCACTGGTGCTCCGCTAGCGTATATCGATAATGCAGGTGGGGTTACCATTTCACTATTATCTATTAAAAAAGTAGAGGCTGTTCTACATTTGCATGAACATTCTATTTCATCATCATCCGGGACCCTTAGTCATGAGTGGCGCCTGACTGTTTGCTTCAGAACCTAGTCCAGCATTATCAACTGAAATACACATAAATTAATCCGGGTGTTCTTACATTAAAATATAATGTGTATTTCTGAAACTTTTAAAAATAAGATATAGTTAAGGTTGCCTGTAAGAGATCCCTCTATGGGATAAGTCCGCCATTATATATTAAATCTTTTTAATGTGTTCAATGCAAAATAAAATTAAAGCAAAGTTCTAACCAAAAATTCCTCTTCCAGACTTCTTCACGCACGAGCAACCATACCAGAAGTACTCCAGCATGGGTATCTCGGAGCCTCCGAAAGACGACTCGCCCAGAACAACACCTGAGTTAACGAGAGCAGACCAGTCCCCGGCTTCGGAAAGACCTCCACCAGGGTCAGCAGACAGCGATGATGCTGACGAGTTTGCACCTAAAAGAAAACAAAGACGATATAGAACAACGTTCACTAGTTTTCAGCTTGAGGAATTGGAGAAAGCGTTTTCGAGGACACATTACCCAGATGTATTTACCAGGTAAATGTTATATAAGTTCTATGATAAACAAGAACATTTTACTCCACAAATAAAAAACGCAGACTTCGAACGTGGCAAAACTGAACAAAGAATATTAACAACCATGAAACTATTAAAAATCAAACTACTAAATCGATTTTAACGAACTTAAACCAAACTAAAAGTATAGCCTTTCAAATAAAAGTATAATTTCCCAAATGTATTTATATGTAAATGACGGAGTTCTAAGGTAACAAGCACAAAAAAGCATCCGAAATGGAAACCTCATTTATTGAGTTAGTTACAAAATGTCCAAGTAGATGTCGCTTCGCAACTAGCTTTATGTTTCACAGAGTAATATATGGATATAATGTGGGATCAACGCGGGAAAAAACAAACTCTGTCGATTGCAAAAACAATTGCCAAAATCGACGTAATCACGTAAAGTAATCACTAAAAAAATGCGGACAAACGAAGAAAATATTTTTCAACAAAATTTACACCTATTTTAAATTTAAGGTATAGTTTTAGCTTATTGGTAGTTGTGTAACAATATTACAGATTTGAAGGGCGCGATATGGTAGTGAAATTACTGGTTACCAATTGACTGTGACTCAAGATCTTCGAGTCATAAGGGCAACAACGCGTAACCTAGTGCCTCTGGTGTTGCAAGAATTCATGGGTGCAGTAGCAGTTTACTAATAATCAAGAAGAGCAATACTAACTATGTATTTTTAGTTATATGTTTATAATACTTTGTCGAATTAGTGTTCCAAGTAATAAATTTTATTAGAAACTAATATTATGAACTAGAACGTTTATGGGGATGCATGGGGGAATGTTTTATACTCTTTCACGCAATATCTACTGAATTAATTTCGATTAAATTTAGTATACGTGTAAAGTATATTTTATATACCTACTGATTCATTCAGACAAAACGGTAGGAAACAGTGATTTAAAAAATTAAAAAGTAACAAAAAACCGCAGTACTTTCGCCGTCTAGCAGTACCCAGTTTGGTAGTAAATCGAGAGTAGTTACCAGAAACAGAGAGTGCTTTTACTGAACACTAATCACTTAAACATTAGCCAAAAACATTGATAACAATTTAATTCGATCTCCAAGAAATGTCCACACATAATCGTGAGTGTTTTAAAATACATTAGTTATCGTGTATTACGAAAATGAGCTGGTAATAACACGATAACGGCAATAAAGAGCATAAACTTGTTAGGGCGTAAATTGATAAGGGCCGAAATGAAGCGTGTAGGCACAAATGTATTTTTAGACTCTGCATCTTCGCTAATCTGTGACGGAGCTTGTTGATATTTGTACTTGCTAAGTGGAGATAGGATTAATGGGTCGTATATCTAATCAAATCGAACGTAGTACCTACATCATTGCGACTATTGTAAATGGGAAAGTGAATTTGTTTATTTCTTTGAAGTTTGTTTGTTACCTCTGGCGTGTTAACTGCTCGACCACTCATTATAAATTTGGTATACATGTACCTAGTATTTGGAATGATATCATAATTAAAAAATCAAATAATTTAATTTTTTACTAGCTAATGCCCGTTACTTCTTCTGCATATGTTTATTCTTGAACTTTATATCCTTTGAGAAATTATTAATTCTCCATACAAAATTTAATTCGCTATTTTGTCCCCTTCAAATTTATTTTCGTAACAAAAAGTAGTAAAAGAAACCTACATGTTTCTTCAAGGTCCAATCTATCATTATACTAAAACACATCAAAATTAATCCAATAGTTCAGGCGTTAAAAGAGAACAAACAAATAGACAGAGTTACTTTTATATCTGTAATATTAATATAGATGTATTTCTTACAAACATTAATGCAGTGTACATATCACTAATCCCGGTCACTAATTATATTAAATAGGTTTCATTAAGATAACAACTTAATTCTTACAAATAAGTATGATAATAGGATTATTTTATAATTTGCATATATTTTTTTAATTAAATTACACATAAATCGTTTAATTTTGATCGATAATCGCACATAACGTCAGATGACGACGCAATGTTATGTATATTGTTCTAAATATTAGTGTAAAAAAAATTCATTAATACTAAAAAGTAATATTTGCCTAATTTATATTTTTACATATATATTTTCTTTTTATCATATACATAAATAATAAAATAAATAGTGAATTACAATTTTTAAGTTATTAGTGGATAAATAAATGTAACGATTATATAAATTAATTGTTCTATTTATGTTACTGTAACAGTAACATAAATAGAGGGATTTTGCCAGTAGTTGCCACGCTTGGCAAGCCGTTTGGCAACCGCAGTTAAATTTTGGCGATGTTTCAAAGGGACGCTGGTGCCCATCTCTCGGACATTTAGTTCCTTTAATCGTCTCTTACGACACCCATAAGAAAATAAAGGGACCACATATCAATATTTTATTTTACTTTAAAAGGGAAACATATATATATATATATATATATATATATATATATATATATATATATATATATATATATATATATATATATATCTAACAATTAACGATTTAAACATAATTTTTTCCTATCTAATCGCATCGCAAAAAGCGGAGCACCAGTGAAGGGTGATAGATGAGAATGAAAACAGGCCAGTTAGCCCATCATGATGAATTCATCAGGAATTTACCATGATAGTTTCCAGGGAGAACCGCGAGGAGATCGACCTGGTTGGGTATATTGCCAGCAATGGGATTCTCAGTCTCCATTACTAACAATCCCTTTCCCCCGAATCAAACGGAGTTTGCCAGAAGTTCCTCTCTAACGTTTATTATTGTATATTAATTGAAACAAATTTGTATAAGGCCTTGTCATGCTAATATCATGTTATATAAATGTTAATAAGAAAACAATAACTTAACAAGATAATTATTATATAATATATGTAAATAAATAACACTTATTCTTTGTTCCAGGGAAGAGCTTGCTATGAAGATCGGATTAACAGAAGCTAGAATACAGGTAATGTATCGTTAAGATTATTATCTTTGCCTGGATTCCTGAGATACAGATCTCTGATCTAGTTTAGAGTCCAGTCTCCCACAAGTTTTACAGATCATTGTAATTATGCATACGTATATAGTTGTATTTTTTTCATGTAACTGTATTTTTCTGTAAAATTTGTGGAGAAAATAAAATAAATAAAAAAAAAATTATCTGAATAATAATATTTCTAATGTTAAGTATTAATTTATCAATATATAAGTAATTAATCCATTAAATGTAACCATTCAAAATATAAATCCATATCGTTTATCTATTTTACACAAATATCATAAGTCCAATTTTGACATTTACAACAGTACTTGTAATTTACGATCGAAAATGTCAGAACTTTTCACAATACCCTAGATATGAACTCTATCTTATTGCAAGTAAGTAATAAACTCTGTTATATCCATGATTCTGTTTATGTCTATAGACGACGATTACAAATATTAGTAATAAATAATAACATAACATAACAAAACGTATATACAAGAGATCTGCCATAAAATGAAATTCCGAATTTTTGGACTCAATTTCATGTTTTCGTTCATACCTAAATCGGCCCAGTAAATGGCGCTTTACATTTTGTTCGTCATAAATCCTATCGTAAAAGTCGAAAGTATCGATATACTTACATTTTTAAATAGTATGTATTATGTAATTTTTTGTGTGTCGTTCGGCCACGAAATATCGAAAAGTATTTCACGGTAGGCCCTCTGATTATTTTATTAAATAGATTAATTTGTGAAAATACAATTGATAAAATTTACAATAACAAAGTTGCAATAAAATTGCCACAGAATATAAACAAAGCCTATAATTGCAAACTAAAATATACACTATATGATCGCTAATTTCAAAGGACCCGCCATGACAGCCTTTAATCAAAACCCACCGAATCGAATGAGGCGATGAAACAACTGTACACAATTACTATAATAAGCTGGACGTAACATTAATCCCTGAATAATAATGGAGAAGGCATTTGTTAATTATGAAACATTAATATAGACATAAATATCCATACAGTTACATGGCCGATGACTTCTTTTTTAATTAAATTCCAATGCAGGTAATTAATTTATAGATATTAATTATTATCGTTATCTTAATTGCGGGTTTTTCAGTACCAGTATTATTCTTATCGGAATTGCAAGCGAAGCTATCCACTTAGGCAATTGTAAAAATAAAAATACGTATTTACCAATGCCACACGTAATTGTTACTTGTTAACATTTTAGTATTTAATTTCAACTCACTTCAAGTAATTAATAACGCAACACTTTCGAGAACGAATATACAAGTACTTAGACAGCTGTGAAGCAATATAAATTGAAACAATTCCGAGTAATTATTTGATATGTATATATTTTAAATGGTAAATTAACTACTCATACAATCGCTGATCATTGATACAGCACCTCGCTTCTCAGGGCTAGACGAAAAAAAAATACAGTCATACTTACTTACCTGTTATGTATCGTCCATAATGAGCATATTATAACACTTTCCATAAAATAAGGCACTTGTACTTTAACCGACTTCAAAATAGGAGTCTTTCAATTCGGCTGTTTGTGTTTTTCTACCATAACTCCGTCATTTATAATCCGATTTTTTTATCTGAAAGGATATATTTTTAATATAAATTTTATCAAAACCAGTTCAGTAGTTTGGTTTTTGGATTAAAATAGCTGGTTTTGCCACGATTGAAGTCGATGTTTTTTTTTCTGTTTTGTGGAACAAATTCCATTGTTATATATAGTGAATAAGTAACTCCTACAAAAACCACAGTTAAAAAAAATATTAAGAAACGTTTAATGCGTTTTTAATCTGGTGCTATAATTTTTTTTGTTAATAGCATTACTAATTTTATTTATAAAACTAACGATTGGGCCCAGTTTTACATAGGTAGAGAGAATTTTCGAAAATATTATTTAAGCTTCTTATAGGTGAAAGAATTTTTAAAATCAATTAAGTAGTTTTTATGTTTACCCATTATTTATTTATTATTATAAACTTTATTTATTATAAACAAACGAAAAAATAACCAAATCTTTCCTCCTAAATATTATATATTAGTGTAAACGTGTAGATTACATTGTACTTGCAATTCTACATAAAGATAGCAAGATTATAGTATTATAGACCCTGACTTAAAAATAAAATTGAATGATATAAAAGGATAAAAATATTTACTTATTAATTCCACATATAAGTATTAATGTACCTATACTACAAACAGTATGTATTTTTTTTTATTGTAAGGTTATTAGAAAAACCTTATAATTTATTTAAAAGATACTACAAAAAATATAATGCCATATCCATATAATAAAGATAATTTCACATCTTACATAGCAACAAAGCGCCAAAGCTCGATCATTCGCTATCACACAAATTCATAGTACCTACCTACCTCCTGCTATAACAAAGTATTAAGGTTGTGTAATGGAACAAATATACAATACCTGCAGGCAAAACTGCTGGTCTAAGTTAAATCTAAATTAAGTCTAAGTTAACAACATAGATATAAACAAAATAATACAAATTATTAAGGTATTAACGCAGTAATATTATTTTTTTAACACTTTACGTATACCTCCATTGTCATTGTTAAGAAATAAGTTGCTATAAAAAGAAACGTTTAAATTTCTCAAATATTCGTGTTTCAACCGTGAAGCAGTTTGGTTTGCATAGCTGTGTTTCGGTTTGAAGGGTGGAATATGGCGTGAATTTACAGGATACAGAGGAATAACACCTGAGTCCTCAGGAATGGCAACGCATGGGGAGTATCATGGGCGAAACAGTATACTCTGTTATGTCCATGGTATTGCTCATGTCTATAGGCGACGGTTATCAATTTCCATCAGGTGGGCCGTTAGCTTGTTGCCATTCTAAGTTGTATAGAAAAAAATTCGGACTAGTTTGCATTATGTTTTTAATAGATTGACAGACAGAAAATCTTAAGGCATTAAGCCTTCAAAAAATTACTGTAGGTAACTTAGCAAAAAAACACAAAAATCTATCAAATTCGTTCTGAAAAATTAATATTATATATCATTATAAACTATAAATAACAACTGTTATGTTAAAAAAAAGTATATAAAATTAATAACATGATACAAAGAAAGAAATATATGAGACGTATACGGTGCTTGTACATAATTGTTGTTTTATAAAAATTACAAAGTTTTACGCGGAAACATTCCACTTGCAAGCCTCCGCTTATATAGCGGCGGTCGACAATCCGCGCGAGTTTTATGTCAAATGCAATTATAAACCGTAGTTGTATGATATCTTTTTTTTTATACAACTTAGAATGGCATACAAGCTGACGACCCACATGATGGAAAGTGGTAACCGTCGCCTATAGACATGAGCAGTACCATGGACATAACAGAGTATACTGTTTCGCCCATGATACCCCCCATGCGTTGCCATTCCTGAGGACTCAGGTGTTATTCCTCTGTACCCTGTAAATTCACGAAATATCCCACCCTTCAAACCGAAACACAACTGCTTCACGGTTGAAACACGAGTGGGACAGAGGTACCCAAGCAATCGACTTTTGTACAAAGTCTCCCTCTGGTAAATAATTGTACCCGACCATAAGACAGTCTGCTGAAATCCAATAGTAGTAGATACAAATCAAAACTGTAATAATTGACTATACATACGTTTCGATTTGTCCCTCGCTTCATTTAGACAGAGTTTTCTATAACAATTTCAACAAAACTTGATTACCTCTTCATTAAATTCTATTGAAACAAACTTGCTATCTAAACCTGTACTGATTACATTAATAGGTACACCACTAGTTAATCAAGAAATAATTATCTAAAACTTCAGTCTTGTATCATCATATCAAAATCAAGCAAGACTGAATGAACCAGTTCCTTAGTTACAATGTAAACCTGAGACTAAAAAGTCGTAGGTGGGCATCACTATTCTACTCGGATTTCTGCTACCAAGCAACTGTATTTGCATGGCTACTTCACTTTACTACCGGAAAAAAGCCGGGTAAGAGCAAGTTGAACTCGCACAACGAGGGTTCCGTACAAATTCATCAAGTTTAAAGTTTTTTGTGAAAAAACTGCAAATTTACCGTTTTCGAATTTTTTCCTTCACTTGTGCTACGTGACATTGCTTGTTACCAAATTTCATGATTCTAGGTCAACGGGAAATTACTTATAGGTTTTGATTCCCTTTACTAATGTCAGAATATGCAATATAAATGGCCATATCTTTCGAATTTAGAAGATTAATTTTTTTACTGTTTTTAGAGATTGCAGACCTGAGTATATGATATTAATTTTTACTTGATACCTCCACGCGTTCCAAAGAAAAAGGGTCTTGACAGACAGACGTTAAAGTGATCCTATAAAGGTTCCATTTTTTCCTTTGAAGATACGGGACCCTAAATATTGAAGTTATATTATTGTCATACATAGTCCTCGAGGAAAGTAATGGATGCCATGTCACAACGTATTCTGCGGTATCCGTAGTATTTTCCATAACTTTAATCGACTTTACTACATTCATAAAAATGCATTCATAAAAAAATGAAGACTTTTTTTATACAACTTAGAATGCCAAACAAGCTGACGACCCACCTGATGGAAAGTGGTAACCGTCGCCTATAGACATGAGCAGTATCATGGACATAACAGAGTATACTGTTTCGCCCATGATACCCCCCATGCGTTGCCATTCCTGAGGACTCAGGTGTTGTTCCTCTGTACCCTGTAAATTCATGCCATATCCCACCCTTCAAACCGAAACACAGCCATACAATACAACTGCTTCACGGTTGAAACACGAATCGGACAGAGGCACCAAAGCAATCGACTGTTGTACAAAGTCTCCGTCTGGTTAAAAACTTAAAAGTGCTTGTAAACAAGTCTATTTAAATAAAGATAATTTGAATTTGATTTTTCATTAATTGAGACGTCCATTCGTGTTAGCCATTCCAAATTGTATGATAAAAATATAATTAAATAAAGAAACCATAAATTAATTGTTGAGTTATTTATTAAACACTAAAGAATGAATACAAATGGTTTTGTTCATGCAATATGTTAATGTTGACTATACACCATGTTAGAAATGGAAACACGCGCTCTTACGAATTTACACAATTACATTTTTTTTTTATTGTTATTAATGGTTTCTTTTTTTAAATTTTATTAATATATTTATTATCTATTTTTTTTATGCGTGAAAATGGCATGGTTACTCCGGCTGCGCTATCGGTATACACTAGCGGGGTACCAGTGAGCGGTGATAGGTGAGGATGAAAAGTCAGTTAGCCTATTGTGACCAATTCAATGGTAAATTGGTCACGATAGTTTCCAGGGGGAACCGCGTGGAGGTCGACCTGATAGGGTATATTGATAGTAATGGGGATTAAAGTCCCCATTACTAACAATCCCTTCCCCCCTTTATTATGTATTAATAAACAAGATATTTAAGTAGATATAACCGTGCAATATTGAGATATCAGTTTTGCATGGAAAATTACAAACGTCATAATTATAACTTACGAGTATTAACGTCCCACTGCTGGGAATTAAATGAGGAATTTAATTTACTATAACATAATTTAATTTTGCCTCGGTGTGGTGCGTTGGGGGATTACTTTTAATTGTTATTAGTATTTAAGGAATTTTATATTAACTTTAATTTGTTGCACCAAGTAAAAAAAAAATACATTTACTATAACCATGGCGATCAGATAAATTGTATTGTGCGTTCTCTAGCAGCTTTATACATAATTTTAATAATAAAAGAAGTGACGGCACATTATATTACTTGTATTCAATGAATTTAAACATCTTTATTCATTCACATCTTTTACAGACTCTTATGATACGTCGTTTTCTACTTACTACATGACTTACTACCATATTCTTAGTCACTACACGATTATTTATATATGTATTTTAGCTACATGGTCCCAGCATAGAATAGTCCACCCCTGCCATTCTCGTGCATGTTGTAAGAGGCGACTAAGGGAGGACATCTCCGAAGCCTAACTGCGACTACCAAATATATTGAGATATATATACGGTTACATACTATTATTATTATTTCAACCGTTAACTGTCCACTGCTGGACATAAGCCTTCCCCATAAGTGGAGTTTTGCCAGTAGTTGACACGCTTGGCAGGCGGATTGGTAACCGCAATTAGACTTTAGGAGATTTTTTAAAAGGACGCTGCTGCCCATTCCTCACCCTCTCTTAGTCGCCTCTTATGGCACCCACAGGACGGGAAGGGGCGGCCCATTCTATTCCAGCATAGATAGAGCACACACGACATATGTACATACATATAATGATATCAAAATATAAGATCTAGAGCTTTATATACTAACTTAACAGTTGAATGCACCATGCAAGTGTTAGATGATCGACTACTACTCACTTAGAGCAAGGGTTTTAGTAAACAAACCGTCCGAATACTGCCCGCTCACTGATTTATTGCAACTAAAATTATGTGCTTGTTGAGGTAAAACGCATATGTAGGCACAACTTAATCATGCAAAAAAGTATTATTTTTATCCAATTTAGAATAGCAAACTAGCTTGACGGCTTCTTAACAGACCCCATATGTAAAAATAAGATAAGCTGACAGCTTACTCGATGGAAAGTGATAACTGTCGCCTATAGTCACGAACAGTAACATGGACATAACAGAGTATACTGTGTCGCCCACGATATTCTTCATGCGTAGCTATTCCTGAGAACTAAGGTGTTATGTCTCTGTACCATGTAATCTCATTGCTATATTCCAAACTTCAAACCGAAACACAGCAATGCAAAAACTATTGCTTCACGGCAGAAACAAGAATGGAACAGGGGTACCTGAGCAGACGAGTTTAAGAATGACAAAAATTGTACAGGACCCGTACAATTCTTATTCTAAACTCTTGGACTATAGTTCTTTTGAGCAAAATGTTTGGATTTTTTGGTTGAATACTTATTTAAAGAAATACTAATTTAAATTGATTTCAATTTTAATAGTTCCGTACAGAACAATAGCCTCAATTTAGAGTATCGTAAATCTTATTACCTTTCAAAATTTTGCAACACACCAATTGGCGCTGACTGGTAGTCCGTCAAGCGCTATTTAAAGCACACGACCGATTCGATAGCTCCGAGCCCCAACAACCTGGTCATTACCTTAATGCGCTACTCTGTTAAGCTATTAAACTCGGCACCTGGGTCGCAGTCGGTGCCTTTTTGCACCGACCGTACCCGACATTCCGCCAGCATGTTTGTTTCCAATTACAACATATATAAATTCACGAGCAACAGCTTCGTATGAAGTCATATTAAAAATGGCCATTGTAAACTTAGTAGAAAACATATGCGCACGCGAAAATAAGATACAAGCCAAACGCGTAAAGTTGAAAATGAACTGTACATTTCAACTATAAACACAAGCATCGTTTCTTGTTTCACGCAGCATCCGCTAAAACTGCATCGACATTTACAGAATCGCTTTAATTTTTTACACGGCGACGTTTATCATAAGTGAATTAATTTAAATTGCCATAAAAATACCAGTTAACATAATGATGCACAGTTTCGTATAGCTTATTTATTCGGTCATAAATATTTAATGTTATAAATATTGCATGCGATATTGGCCGTTCATAAATCAACTTTTACTACGGCGGATTGTTTAGTTTCGATAAGCCTTAGTTGTGAATAGTTTTTCATCGCTCGCAAAATATCCTGTGTCGAGTTGAAGGGTACTCTTTTACAATAAACTTTTTAGTTGGCATATTTTAACGAGGCAATAAAAAAGTAAATGTGTTTATTAATGAGTGATTGTGTGATAAAACTTATTCATAATACATTGTTTCAAAAGATGGAATACTACAATCTAATATTACGAGTATTTCAGAATGTAATTTAAGAGAAGATTCTTTGTATTTAAGTTATAAGGTGTAAACGAGAAGATACAGCGAGACTAATGTTAACAATACTTCTAATTACTGCACCTGAGATTATAGTTCTGAATGTATAGAAGAAAATATCTTCATTTTGGCCTTTTATGTTCACTAGTGAACATAAGCCTTCCCCCATAAGGAGGCCAGGAGTTGCCACGCTTGGCAGGCGGGCTGGCAACCGCAGTTATGCTTTTAGAGATGTTTTAAGAGGGCCGCTGCTGTCCATCTCTCTACATTTAAATTCCTTTAATCGCCTCTTACGTCACCCACAAGAATAGGAGGTTAGCCTATTCTATGCCGGGACCACACGGACATAGTAGAAAATATAGTACTTATGAAACTCTAGATCACGATTTAGAATAGTGTGAGGGATGTATAAAAACATAGACTTTGTATATGCCCACAGGGACAATCTCAAAATTAGGGGTGTCACTCGCCATTACTGGCCATTGTTGCTGATCTTGAATAAATCATACTAATTTCTCTGTCGATTTACTACGTCCTTCAAACCGAAACTCAGTCATATAAGTATATAGATGCTTAATAGCAGAAAGAGACATATAGAAAAAAGCATTCTCTTTTTTAAAAGACTTGCAATTCCATCGATGTTTCGGATACTCATGGGCGGCGGTAGTCACTTATCAGATGACCCGAATGCTCTACCTGAATCTCTGAATTTACCCTCTATATTATAAAAAAAATGTTCAGACAGACATGCAGACAGCTGTACGAAGTTTCCCTCTAGTATGATATTGTGTCTTGTCATTAAAAGTATTTTTTTATATTTCAGGTATGGTTCCAGAACCGCCGCGCGAAGTGGCGCAAACAAGAAAAAGTTGGTCCTCAAGCTCACCCCTACAACCCGTACCTGGGAGCGGGAGGCGGAGCTCCCCCGCCGTCCGTAGTAGCCTCCATGCCCAATCCGTTCTCGCAACTCGGGTTCGGATTTAGGAAGCCTTTTGATGCGAACGCCTTAGCATCATTCAGGTATAATTTATCAGCTATTGTACTATATAATACTTTATTTAAATTTACTAAAATACAACTGAAGACAGATTTTTTTATTGTTTTTTTTTTTTTTGGTGGCATTTTTATTAATGTGAAGTCGATATCTTAAGAATTTGTTGTGTGCATCTGTAATTGGCGTAAATGCAAGATGCAAGCCGCGTATATCAATTGAAATGAATCTCTATATTTACACCGTAATGTACGTTTTAAAATAAATAAAAACATAATAGTATATTTGCATAAAAACCTCAATTCTGCTTTTGATACTGTCCCTATAGCAAATTTCTAAAGAATGAAAATTAATATTAATATAATAGGTGTTCATAAAAGATTTAAAGCTAATTAATATACAAATAAAACGTAAATAATATATCAATCATAATATAATAATCGATGTTAAAGTCTACATCAAGCAATTTAAAATAATTACTGAGTACAGTATAGTCATTTATTCTATTAATGAAACAATCTTTCAAACATAGACAAAGGTCATCACTTTAAGCCATGTATTTACTAGACAATATTACGTAAGATATTACTCAACATCTAGTTTAATATATCTTCTGTGGGATGACGGAATAAAAAGGTTAGTTACCATTCCTTTTCAACCGTCAGGATGTCACAAGTAGCGAGTGCTATCTCCTGACACAGGTTGGCAATCAATATGTTCATTTTTAATGTGTCTATCGCTACCTTGTACCATATGATTAAAACACTTGAGACAGCGGTAACCTCTTAAGTATTAAATCATAATATTGATTTATTTAAACAATATTGAGCGGAGGTAGCTTTAGCAAAGTAAATTGCGAATCATGTTAGTAGACACCTGCAACTTCATACGTTCTTCTCCGATTTTGCCTTATATGCAAATTGTAATGTGTTGCATCTTAATTGATGCCTGCCAAGCAACACTAGAGGGAGACTTTGTACAATAGTCGTTTGCTTGGGTACCTCTGTCTCATTCGTGTTTCAACCGTGAAGCAGTTGTGTTTGCATGGCTGTGTTTCGGTTTGAAAGGTGGGATATGGCGTGAGTTTACAGGGTACAAAGGAATAACACCTGAGTCCTCAGGAATAGCAACGCATGGAGGGTATCATGGGCGAAACAGTATACTCTATTATGTCCATGGTACTGCTGATGTCTATAGGCGACAGTTAGCACTTTCCATCAGGTGGGCCGTCAGCTTGATTGCCATTCTAAGTTGTATAAAAAAAAAAACACCGAATTGAACGCTATCGTTTGTGCAGGTACGCAGGCGCGCCAGTCCTCGGGGCGCAGTACCTCGGGGCGCCCCTGCCTCGACCGCCCCTCTTCAGTGCACCTCTATATTCTACACCACCGCCTTTCCACTCGCTCCTCGCCGGCCTCGCGGCACCGCCAAGACAATCTCCGGACCCGCCCCCAGTGTCGCCCCCCATATCTCCAGGAAGCGAATCGCCCCCAAGTGCTCAATCATCAGTTCCAGAAGTCGAAAGACGAAGTTCCAGTATTGCTGCACTCAGAATGGCCGCAAGAGAGCACGAATTAAGGCTAGAAATATTGAGACAACGGCACCATAGTGACTTGATTAGTTGAGTTTTGTACGGTTGAACTCCAGTGTAATAAATGCAGTACCTATTTTTCAGGTACAAATCGCAAAACTCTCAAGTTATAGAAGCCTTGTAAGATAACTATTATAGTAAATAATAGATTTTATATGAAACAGTAGAGGATGTCAGGATCTAACAGGATTTGTTAATTTTACTTTTTATTTATCTAATAAAAATGTTCTTATCTTTAATAAATTTATGACCAATATCTAATAATTCAGTATTGTATTATGTTTTTTATCATATCAATTTTCTACTTCTTTCAAAACTTGTAATCCATAGTTATTTGCCTAATTGTTTGGCTTAGGTAAGTACTTAAAGTAATAGTGTACATTATAACAATTCTATACCAATCCTGACTCTGTAAATGTAAGTAAAAATATTTCAATCCGTCCAATTTATAGGCCTTATTGTTATTTATTTTAGCTTTAAGAATTATAAGACGTACTATTTTATAATTTTAATTTAAGAAGTGATAAAAATAACCGTACTACGCAATATGCTGTGCCTTGAAGGTGCCTTTCCTATGAAAATTTTATTACGTTAAGCACGAATCTTTTGCTGATATACATACATATATATCTAAGTATATAATTATGCAAGAGATATAAGTTTATATAGAAAATGTGAATAGTAGACAATAAAATTACAGATCATTTGTAAAATGTCTAAAATATTTTGTTACTTCTATTACTGTTAAAATGAGAAAAAATAAAAATATCTCTTTGCAAAGTGATTATAAATACTCATTATAAATTTAACAATTCTGAGAATAATTAACAATAATTTTGACAAGAATTATGAGAATATTAAACAATACGTATTTACTTATTTGTGTTACTCTTTACATAAATACTTGTAAATTGTTCAAAAATATAAAATTAATTTCATCTAATTGTTTATCTTAATTTTGTTGTAGTTATAAAACATAATTCGTCCAATAAATGTGTATTTAAGTTGCACCAAAGAGAGCATTATGAAATAAAATAATATGCGTTCAAACTTATCCTGGTTATTAAAATTCAAAACACAATATTGATTCTAAATTTTCATTTATATAATACTATTAATAAGTGTTAATTTGAGTCAATAATTTATCAAATTCCACTTGTGATCATCATAATTATTTCGAAGAAACTATAAATAAATTACGTACATTTCGAGAACTGCACAAACAATTTCTAAGCTTTTTGTTAAATGACATGAAAATTTAAGTATATATAGTACGAAATAAACAAATATTGAAACTGAACTGTCTTTAATTTGCAAGCTTGAGTTAAATATCATGATACAAGTAATGCCTACTTTCAACAGTGTCAAAGCAGATTCTATTAAAATAGTTGAAAGTACGTCAGTTAATTTTATAATTTACACCATACGACACCATACGATTATACCGTCACAGTATAACAAATGAGCTAATTGTATGAGGAAGCTTTTAAACTTCTTTGGGCGTACTCAATACTATCATGCCATACATACAATTGCATGTCACTTAATTTTATCTTAAGTCCCACACTTAGATTATATAGATAGAGCGTCGAGTCTCAAAAACAGGTGAACTTGTTGTCAGCTAATTGTCAAATTATGTTACTGTTTATGTTTATAGACAACGGTCCTTCCATCAGGTTGCCCATCTACTTATTTGTCATTCTAAGTTACATAAAATTATGTTAGTAGGTTGTGTCCTACAAAGAAGTCTTCAATTGCGGCAAAACTAGTTGCGTTGATTTAAAAACTAAATCACTAAACCGATGTTGATAAAATTTCTATAAAACCAATTTATAAGTATATTCTTTCAGATAAAAAAAATTTTCAAATCGGTTCATAACTAACTACATTAAGAGATAACAAATATAAAAAAAAATACAGCCGAATTGAGATGTTCCTTTTTTTATCGAAGTCGATTGAAAAACTTCAATTGCCAGTAACATGGTAAGTACTATTATTATAAAATGAGTTTGGTAACTTAATTAATCATTATAAAATTTAGTACACACGTACTATGTGGAATAAAAGAACATAAGCTACTATTTATATCCTGGTTATGAAAACAATATACATATGTATATAAACACAAATAAAACTTTCCATAATTTACTTTTTTTACTATAGAAATGTCCCGCGATTGAACACGATCTCACCTGATTGAAAGCGATGATGTGGTCTAAGATGGAGCTGGCTGGTCCACGAATAGCATATGGCAAATGTGTTCCTTAAATTGGTGCATCTTTATTTTCCAATGTTTATTTTTGCGCAATATATAACCGTATATTGTATCGTGTTCCGAGGAATTGTTCGAAGTAATGCCCACCCAAAAAAGTTTCTTCAAGGTCGGCAACACACGCGTAATACCTCTGGTATTGCAGGTGTTCATAGGCTACGGTAACCGCTTACCATCAGGTGGGCCGTATGCTTATTTGCCACCTCAGTGGTATAAAAAAAAAATTTCGTGGTATAAAAAAAAGTCTTCTATAATAGATTGATTCTCCGAAAGGAATTGACTGACAAATTTCTTTGTCCTTATACTCATTTCTTACTCATCCACTTTCATAACTTATTATACTAATAATTATGCAAACCTCGTTATCAATTAATATACTATTTAAACCTATATATTTTATTAAATAAAAAATTAGTGCAATTATATCTATGCTGTTACTATTAAAATCTTCTTGATAACATGATTAATAACTCATATACTCCTAATACACTCAAGTATCATATATTCTGTCAATTATATTTCAATATACATAAGAAGCAGTTGCTAAACGAAAACGTTAATGTATTATTAAAGAAACCAAAGAGAAGTAATCCAATTTCGGCTTTCAACAATCGTAATCCATCAATCAAACGGTTATTACACGTCATAGATTGAAAAATATGGCAGCTTACCGTTGGCAGTCGGCGTTCGGAAACCATCTATCAATGAGAAGCGAAACAATACAAAGAACTCATTAATTACATAATCGAAGCTAATTAAAATGTAATTCAATAAGAAATTCAATTATAAGGTAAAAGAGAGGTTAGACACTCGTGGGAAGGTGCGTGGGTAGGTACTGATGAGTTTTGTGATTTCCTAACAGCTATTAATCTTAAATTCAATTATACGCCAATGATTATACCGATTATGGTTAGCCGGCGGATTTATTGGGAAAAAAAAAAGAAAGCCATGACTCACGTTCGGTAGTTTTTAATTGAAGTGTATAAAAATTTTGATTAAGTGCACGTATAGGTCTTTCGATTTCGTGTAATACATATGTCTAATGATTAACAATGGTATATGATGATACTTCAATCTATGTAATCATAACAGATTTTAATTTAGCCACTGCTGAACATAGGCTTTTCTCATATAAGGGGGTGTTTACAGTAATTGCCCCGCTTAGCAGGCAGGTTGGCAACCGCAGTCAACCTAAGGTGATATATTGGGAGGAAAGGGATTGTTAGTAATGGAGACTGAGAATCCCATTGCTAGCAATATACCCAACCAGGTTGACCTCCTCGCGGTTCTCCCTGGAAACTATCATGGTTAATTCCTGATGAATTCATCATGATGGGCTAACTGGCCTGTTTTCATTCTCATCTATCACCCTTCACTGGTGCTCCGCCAGCGTATCCTGTTAGCGCAGGCGGGGTTACCATACCATTTTCACACATCCAAAAAAAAGGTGATATATTAAGAAGGACGGTGCTGTCCATTTCTCGAACATTCAGTTTCCCTAATTACCTCTTACGACACCTACAGGAAAGAAATAGGCGTGCAATTCTATTCCGGGACCACACCTTAAATTTATGTATGTAATATTAGCGATTAAATGTTTAAATTATTACGTAAAAACTTAACAGTAGCACCAGTAACTTAGAACTTGTGATTTTTTTTATACAACTTAGAATGGCATACAAGCTGACAACCCACCTGATGGAAAGTGGTAGCAGTCGCCTATAGACATGAGCATAACAGAGTATACTGTTACGCCCATGATACCCCCCATGCGTTACCACTCCTGAGGACTTAGGTGTTATTCCTCTGTACCCAGTAAATTCAAGCCATATCCCACCCTTCAAACCGAAACACAGCCATGCAAACACAACTGCTTCACGGTTGAAACACGAATGGGACAAAGATACCCAAGCAATCGACTTTTGTAAAATGGTGATTTAACTCAAGTGCCACTGCCCTCAAGATAATTACCGCCAAATGTGTTTATTGACTTTCTTATTTTATTTTATTATTTTATACGTCTTGAGCAAAGATATTAACAACATATTAAAAAAAGAAATCACCTATATTCATATTAATATCAATTTTTTTGTTGAATTCTTTCCATTCGTGTTTCAACCGTGAAGCAGTTGTGTTTGCATGGCTGTGTTTCGGTTTGAAGGGTGGGATATAGCGTAAATTTACTGCGTACAGAGGAATAACACCTGAGTCCTCAGGAATGGCAACGCATGGGGGGTATCATGGGTGAAACAGTATACTCTGATATGTCCATGGTACTGCTCATGTCTATAGGCGACGGTTACCACTTTCCATCAGGTGGGCCATCAGCTTGTTTCCCTTTCTATGTTGTATAAAAAATATATATATAAAAGTTATTTATTCAAAAAACAATGTACTTTGTGTTTGAAATTATGATCTTACAAAAAGCATTAAATTAAATTAAAGGTAGCTACTTTCTTTTCCCGTAGATGTCGTAAGAAGCGACTAATGAAACCGCATGGTCGACGGATGGGCAGCAGCGTCCCTCTTTAAACAACACCAAAGGCTAACTGCGGCTGTCAATCCGCCTGCCAATAGTGGCAACTACTAGCAGCACTCTCCAATAGGAGATCTATGTCCAGCAGTGGACAGTTAACGGTTGTTATGATAATTGTTTGTATATATATGATAAAACTGTAACTAAACCGTGTCTCTACATGCATACATAACACAAAAATTACTTTACTAACTTTTATGAAATTTAAAATAGTGATAACTTAATATCGATATATTTATATCTCATTCTTATTTAAAAAAAAAAACATGACATTTGCCGCGCGAATAAAGTCATATATACAGCTATAATTTTTTCCATATAAAACTATTTCTAATTCTCAAGAGAACATTATTTAAAAAAAAAAACATACATAATATTTACTAACACAACAAGTTATTAGTTATTATACTATTTATATCATGAAGTCTAGACTTGTAATCTTTAAATTTATCATAGCTAATCCATTTCATAATTACAGTGTTTTTAATTAATATGAAGTTATAATTAATCAGATATCCATTAATGAAAAATAAATAAGAACGCGACTAATTTAATTGTAATCGAATTTTTATCCTACGGAGCTCATCTGCTAGTATCCGCCTCTCCGACAGCCTTTCATTATGAACTACTGCAAGTCATAAACTTAAGCGATAAAATTTATATACTACTGTTAAGAATTATAGCTTTAATAAATTTCGTCTGGCAACAATATCGTAAAAAAGAAAAAAAAAGTCTGGTCTATTATTATCGAATGTGTCGGTAGAACGTAAGTTCGTTGTCGTCGTTCTCGTTTTTGAATATTATCGCGCGCGTACATATATTGCCGCGAATATCGTACAAATTAATATATATCATTTCGTATTGCTTTTAATTATATAACATATAACCAAGAGGCTGATTGAGAGGAGGGTATTGCACTGCTGGTCGGTTCAAGGCGGTGGATAGCTAACTCGGATCTGAGGGTAAGTTCGAACGAACCAGAAGTTTTGGAAAGCCTGAAACCAGAACCGAATCCTGCTAACTACAAAGCTTCAGGTCAGTGGTCTCCACCTTCATTATCCTCTTGTATTCATTATTTACCTACCAACATCGTAATAATTTTCATACAGTCCACTAATAACCGTTGCCGGACGATTAATTTCAATTTGTAACATCTTATTTTACGAACAGTTAACAACTACAATAATGACAGATTGTGTTCTACAAAAAAAAAAACAGTTATTTTGATTTATAAAGTAAACTACTGGTCCGATTATGATAAAATTTATATGAATACCAAACCAAAATAATAATAATAGCCTTTCAGATAAAAAAAGAGTTTTTCAAATCGTGCTAGAATTAATGATGTTATAAGGTAATAAACAAAAAAACATAATGGAATTAAAAATCTCCTTCTTTTGAAGTCGGTAAAAAAGAGATATAATTGTGCCTGCAATATTTTTGAGCCATTCCATATCTCACTCCTTTAAAAAGACCTTTTTATTAAATGATT